TTGCATAAAACATTGCAAACCAGGACGAACAAAATAGAAGCAGGTCAATTTTATTGGCGTGTTGTTGCATTGAGAGCTGATTGCTGATATCCACCTCCCGAACAGTGGCTGACCTTTTCTCCCGTCGCATCTGACGCCGCCACCTTTTTCCACACAAACGAGAGCACCATCAACTGGCTCAGTACCGCCTTCTTTTTTTCCTTCGTCTTCATCACGCCCGTGACCATCTTTGTCTTGCACCACGGTCCCCGGCCTTCGATGATGACGTCGGCCGTGCTGCTGTTCCTTGGTAACTGGATTCGCTATGCCGGCACACGCTCGAACTTGGCCGAGGACGGTCTTACAGGGGGCCACTTTGGTGTTGTCATGTTCGGCCAGATCCTCACCGGCTTGTCGCAACCCTTTGTACTGGCAGCGCCTGCGCGCTACTCCGACCTGTGGTTCACACACCGTGGCCGCGTTGCCGCGACGGCACTGACGAGTTTGGCGAATCCCTTTGGCGCTGCCCTTGGCCAGCTGATTATCCCGTTCTGGGTCTACAGCTCCAAGGACATCCCTAATATGGTCCTTTACGTATCCATTATTGTAAGTTTCACGTGCTACTTTGTTTGTCATGTGTCCAGCCCTTGCTGACCAGCAGTCTACGGTTTGCTCTGTGCCCTCCTTCTTTGTCTATGGAAAGCCGCCTACCCCGGTCGCGCCGTCATCGGAGACGCCCAAACTGGAACTGCTGAAATCCCTCAAGCACATCTCGCGCTCGGTCGAATTTTGGCTCCTCTTCATTCCATTCATCGTTTACGTCGGCTTCTTCAATTCCATCTCGTCGTTGCTCAATCAGATCATGCTGCCGTACGGCTACTCGGATGACCAGGCCGGCATTGCCGGCGCCGTCCTCATCGTCGTCGGTCTTGTGGCGTCTGCCATCTCCTCGCCCATCCTCGATCGCACAAAGAATTTCATCCTGGCCACCAAGATCTGTGTGCCCATCATCGGCATCAGCTACCTTATCTTCATCTGGATGCCCGAGACGCACGACTCTGGCGGTCTCGCGGGGCCGTATGTTGTACTCGCCGCTCTTGGCGCCTCGTCGTTTACGCTCGTGCCCGTGGCTGTCGAGTTCCTTGTCGAGGTGACCCACCCTGCGAGCCCCGAAGTGACATCCACGCTGGCGTGGGGCGGCGGGCAACTGCTGGGCGGCATTTTCATTATTGTGTCGGACGCGCTGCGGGCTGGTGTCGATGGCAGCCCGCCCAGCAACATGAAGAAGTCGCTCATTTTCTCGGCCGTCGTCGCGCTCGTTGTGGTGCCCCTGCCGCTCTGCTTGGGCTTGTTTGGCCGCAGCGAGCAAGTGAAGCTGCGGCGTGTGCGGTCAGATGAGGCGGCCGTGCAGGCGCCTGCTCCAGCGACCGAAGCGGAAGCATAACCTATAGCTTTTACTTTATTTTGCATGTCTGTTTTGGAATGCCTATTTTTTGATGACTATGTTGATTTCGCGCCCCTTTGATGCCCTCTTAATTTTTATTTTGCATATGACACCCTTACGTTTTGGGAATGAGATACCTTTCTTACACTGGAATGATTTTTGCAGAGCATTTTGGCAGATAACTATATGGGCCTGTTTTGACGTCTAGTCATGAAATCATTACGCGACTGTTATCGTTGTGCATGCGCCTTTGTTTCACCCGTAATATGCGATAGGCTAGAGTAAACATATGTTCTCTGCTAATGTAATTTCATCGGCATATGCAGAGTCCTGTGTATAAGTGTCAGACCATCCATTAGTTCAAGTCATCTTCGTTCATCTTCGCGCATGGGCAGCCTTGACTTCGAGACATATTTTTCTGGAAAAATGCTCGGCAGCCTTGTGAGCACAGCCTTGCCAAAAGGTGTCGTTGGATGACTGGCCGTGAGAATACGACGTGTGAGATCTTAGACCCATTCTAGACTCATTTTTCGAATCCTTCGGATTTTGTCATCAAATCAATTTTATCGATTAGTTATTATGGTTGTGGATGTGGAGAAATCGGCTTTGGCCTCTCCTTTTCTAGGAACGTCGGATTCTATGGTTTATTATTCGCTTGAAAATCTTCAAAACATTGCAACAAATTGGCCAGACACTTTTGGTACGGACTGGCACATGCCTCACTGGCTCTCTCGCACCTTCTTGACGCGCTGGTCCCATTCGACGCGCAGCCGCTCCATCTCTCGCCAGCAGTCCCGGCCTAGCACCTCGAACTCCTGACGCCGCTCCGCCGTCAAGTTTGCAGCACCGGATTTACGGCCACGGCTGTTGAGCAGGTACGCAGGAAAAGGGAACGACGCGGCAAGCGGATCGCCACCTGCGCCCCACGGCTTGCCCGTCACCGAGTCAATGGTGGTCACCGTGGTCTCCTCACCCACACGGCCACGGAAACCCCAGCCCTCGACCTCGGACCGCTTAATGAGCGTTGAGCCACCGCGTGTCGTGCCGGCGCCCCACTTGACGTGCTGGCCGTCGAGAGTGTCGAGTGCCGCTGTGGGTCGCAGAGCCACCCAGACGGCAGCGGCGGCGCCCTTGTAGGCAGTGACGGGGTGCCACGGCGAGCCGAGCCATCGGGAGATGTACATGGCAATGTTGTAGAGGGCGAAGAGGAACCAGTTGAGAGGGAAGAGGGTCGAGCAGACGACGCCCGGGTGCGTGACGTACGTGGCTGGGACCGTAGAACTGTCCTTGTGGTTGGCCGCATCTGTGCTGTCGTCCTTGTAAAACGGTGCCGAATAGGGCGCGACGCTTTTAAGGCCGGTGCTTAGGGCCAGCACGTCCGTGAGGCGCTTGGAGCTCTCGTAGGCGGCAGTGGTGCGCACGGCCTGGAAGTCGTCCAGCGACAGGTGGTACCAGCCGTCGGCCTCGACGCTGCTCTCCCAGATGATACGAGCGGGACCCGGGCCGATGGCGGAGCTTTTGGGAGAACCCGTGCCTTCGCCGGTACCCCGCAGCAGCGGCAGCAGCGCATGGGCAAAGACGTAGTGCCCAAAGACGTTGGCGCAGAATATCTGGCCTAGGATGCCGTCGTTGTCGTCCAGTCCCTGACAGCCCTCGGCGCGCTTGACCTCTTTGCCCGTCAACGGGTCTACCAGCAGGCCGCCGTCTGAGGCCTTGCACGTCGGGAACGTCGTCGCCTGCTGAATGCCGTCGGACAGGATATTGGTCAGCAGGTTGCCCCAGCCAATGCCAGTCCAGCCGCCAATGCCAGCATTGAAGATAACACTGTCAAGGCGCGGAATCGTGTGCGGCGAGGAAGCAGTGTCCTCGATGCCTGTGCAGATCGAGAGCGATTCGAAGCGCAGGCGCTCGGCAGCACCATATACGCTGGGCAAGTTGCACAGGTCAAGCTCGAGGCTGGCAAGGTGGATGCGGGACGGGTGGACGGTGCCCTTGTTCGCAGCGGCCGAGCTCTCGCTCCGCTGCAGGTGCTGCCGCAACAGGCCAGTCGTGGCCCGCGACTTGGCGGCGCTACGGGTGGTCGTGATCAAGACGAGGTGTTCGGAAGGACTCGTGTGCTCTGCGGCGAACTCGTCGATGAGGCGCTGGCCGATGCCGAGGCCAATGCCGCTGGGAGGTCAGTACACGAGAACAGCACCAATGAAATCTCTGGTAGGAACAGAAAACGCACCTATTTGCTCCTGTCACAAGGACAAAAAGCTGCTTTGCGGCAGCGCCATCGTCCCAGGGGGCGGCTGGCATTCTGAAGCCAGAAGGCAGAAGCCAGAAGCCAGAAGCCAGAAATGGAGTTTGCTGGGTGGGCAGGAGCTGCAATGGCGGTAGGAAAGGCTTTTTTTAACAAAACCTGGCGAGCTGTGAGATGAGAGTGATATCTGACCCTCGGGACCCTGGAAGTGTGGGTTCGTAAAAAGTTGACAATATGCCGGCTGACGAGAACGACGTCGAGAATAGTAGGTTGGAGACTTCTTACTTGCCGTTGTTGATCTGATAGGGCAGTTTGGAATTGCTGTTGGTGTGAAAGGGGCTGCTTCCAGACGTGGAAAGAACAAGCTTGACGGAATAATCCGCACTCATCAGCTTGCGACACCGAGTGCCTTGAGCGCCGTTGGCCACTGTAATTTGCAGAAGGTGCTGCCCCTCGGCAGTGGTCTCTCCGATTGCTTGTAGGCGACTGGGGCAGGTGCAGTCGTGCACTAGCGCAGCACCTGTTGCAGACAAAACACGCCAAGTCCTCAACCAACCAGCGACAGGGACACCGGAGGACGTTGTATTACGTGAAGCGGTAAAAAACGCTCTTGCCGCAATGGGCGATCGGGCGACAGAGAGCACATGACGGGGTAATGGAGCGCTATGCGGGAAGGAGCAAACCAGCGCAACAGAGCAAACAGACCGGCAAATCGCAAGGAAGCTTCGACGCCCACGATCGAGAGTAAGCCCCAGTCGAAACCTGGAACTCACTTGTTTGCTTGTCTCGCATTTTCCATCGCACAACCACCGCCACGCCCGACCTGGTACGTTGCACGCCCACTCTCCTCAGTGTATTTTATCCTGTCGTCTTGTCGCTCACACTTGTTGTGTCGGCTTTCTCTTCCCAAAACTCCCGAAAACGCGCTGCAGCTGGATTGCCCGCATCGACCTTTTGGCGATTTGAGCTTCAACAATTGACACTCTTCAGCCTCTCGTCTAGACTTCATTATACCCCTCTCTCTCACCGGTGGTCTGCGAGCTGGCACCGGATCTCAATACTTTCTCGATTTGCCTTGAGCCCTCGCCAAGGTCTTCCTACGAACCACCCCCTCCTCGATTCACGAAACGACCTCCTCCTATCTCGTCGTCTCGACAATCACCGATTCTCTCGGATCCTTGCCATCCCTTTTGCGACGCCATCTACCTTTTCTCTGTTGGTCGAGGATGCAATTCTCTGCGGTGACGTCGCTTTGAAGAGGAGGCGAACGAACAAACGAGGCCACCCCGTCCGGGTGACCTACGACCGAAACGATAGACAGCGTCGGCAACCATGTCGTCGCCACAGGTGTCGGCGGAGTTGAACTCGGATGCCCTGATCAAAGACCTTCGATCCAAGTACGTATTTGCGATGGAAAGAAAACTTGAACGACGGCGAATGGCAGGGTGGAAGATGTGGGATGTGTCGAGCGCATAGGAGATGAGGCCTGTTGCTAACCGTAAACCCACCATCGACAGAGCCATCAACGATGATGCACGGAGACGGGCTGCCCAGCAGCTTAGAGAGCTGGTGGCAGTAGCACAACGAGGTACGAATACAACCTTATGGCGACGAAGAAGGAGATGCGATGAGGGGAGGGCGCTCCGGATTGCTGACCAGACAAGACTTGAGCCCGGAGATGTTCCAAGGCTACTGGGCCAATGTCCAGGCCAAAATCAGCGGCCTGCTGCAAGGTGACAGCACAATCGACAAACTGGGCGGCATCTACGCACTCGATGCCTTTGTCGATTTCGAGGGCGTCGACGCGACCGTCAAATACACGCGCTTCGCGTCGGCGCTCACACGACTGATGTCCGGCAAAGACATCAACTGCATGCAGCCCGCGGCCATTGTTATTGGCAAACTGTGTCGACCGGGTGGCGGCTCGCTGGTGTCGTCGCTCGTCGACACCGACGTGCAGCTGGCTCTCGAATTCCTGCAAGACGGCAGCAGCGAGGAGCGGCGTTATAGTGCGGCCCTGCTCTTGCGCGAGATTGCACGGAATGCTCCCACGCTCATGTACGGCAAAGTAACCGACATTCTCGACTGGATCTGGGTCGGCCTCCGTGACCAACGTCACCTTATCCGCGTGACGTCTGCTGAAGCTGTTAGTGCCTGCTTCAAAATCATCAGCGAGCGCGACCTGGAGATGAAGAATCAGATCATGGACAAGATGTACAACGAGGCCGGCCATGGTTTCAAGCTCAACACAGTCGAGTCCATTCACGGCTCTATGCTCGTTCTCAAGGAGCTGCTCGAGCAGGGCGGCATGTTCATGCAGCATCGCTACACCGAGGCGTGCGAGATCGTCTCGCGGTACAAAGACCATCGCGACGCCGCCATCCGCAAGATGTCCGTCCTGCTCATCCCCGACCTCGCCATCTACGCACCCACCCAGTTCTCCGAGAACCATCTCCACCAGTTTATGATTTACCTGTCGGCCATGCTCAAGCGCGAGAAGGAGCGCAACGATGCCTTTGTGGCCATTGGCAGCGTGGCCAACGCCGTCAAGAGTGCCATGGCGCCCTATCTTGACGGCATTCTGATCTACATCCGGGAAGGGCTGAGCGTCAATTCTCGTAAGAAGGCGTCTGTCGACCCTGTGTTTGACTGCATCAGCCGCCTCGCCGTCGCTGTCGGCCAGACCCTTACCAAGTACATGGAGGCACTGCTGGACCCCGTCTTTGCCTGTGATATGACGCCCAAGTTGACACAAGCCCTCGTGGACATTGCGTTTTATGTGCCGGCCGTGCGGACCACCATCCAAGAACGTCTGCTCAACATGATCAGCCTCGTCTTGAGCGGGGAGCCGTACAAGCACCTCGGTGCACCCATTACGCAAGGCACCGGTGTGCTGTCTGCCCCGGTTACAACTGCAGCATCAAAGGACGCCAGCAAAGACGCGGCCGCCATTGAGCAGCACAAGACAGAGGTCAAACTAGCTCTCAACACACTCGGCTGCTTTGACTTCTCCGGCCACGTGCTGAACGAGTTTGTGCGCGACGTGGCTATGCGCTATGTTGAGGATGACGACGCCGACACCCGCGAAGCGGCATCTTTGACGTGCTGCCAGCTCTACCTGCGCGACCCTATTGTCAACCAGGACAGCTACCACGCGATGCAGGTCGTCGGCGACGTAGTCGAACGGCTCCTAACAGTCGGCGTGTCCGACCCTGTTCCCCACATCCGCTACACAGTCCTCAATGCGCTCGATGACCGCTTCGACCGCCATCTGGGCAAGGCGGACAACATCCGGACTATTTTCTACGCCCTCAACGACGAGTACTTCCCTATCCGCGAGGTGGCCGTGCGCTTGATTGGCCGCCTGACACGGGAGAACCCTGCGTACATTGTACCCTCGCTGCGCAAGACGCTGATCCAGATGCTCACCGAGCTCGAGTTCTCTGATGTGCCCCGGAACAAGGAGGAGAGCGCCAAGCTTCTCAGCCTCTTGGTCCAGAACGCCCAGATGCTGATCCAACCTTACGTGCATCCCATGATGGAGGTTCTCTTACCCAAAGCGGCTGATCCAACATCCTCAGTGGCTGCAACAATCATCAAAGCCATTGGCGAGATTTGCACTGTCGGTGGCGAGGAAATGCTGCGGTACAAGGACCGCCTGATGCCCATCCTTGTCGACGCGCTGCAAGACCAGTCGTCTATGATGAAGCGTGAGGCCGCTCTTCGTACCATTGGCCAGCTGGCGTCCAACTCGGGCTACGTTATCGACCCATATCTCGACTATCCCCAGCTGCTCGACTTGCTTCAAAACATCATCCGCGGCGAACCCCAGCACGCCATGCTGCGCCAAGAGACTATTAAGCTCATGGGCATCCTCGGTGCTCTCGATCCGTACCGGCACCAGCAAGTGGAGGAGCGCAGCCCCGAGGTGCAGCGCCGCGTGGACTCGACCCAGACGACCGACATTTCGCTGATGATGACGGGTCTGACGCCCTCGAACAAGGAGTACTTCCCAACGGTCGTCGTCAATGCCCTGTTGGGTATTCTCAATGACCACTCGCTGGTACAGTACCATCAGGATGTCATCAGCGCTATCATGTCCATCTTCCGCACGCTTGGTCTCGAGTGTGTGCCATTCCTCGATCGCATCATCCCTGCGTTCCTGCAAGTTATCCGGAGTTCATCGCCCTCCAAGGCAGAGGCATACTTCAGCCAGCTCGCCACGCTTGTGAGCATCGTCCGCCAGCACATTCGCAACTACCTTCCCTGTCTCGTCGAGATCATGCAAGAATACTGGAATAGTTCCCCATCGTTGCACTCGACGATTCTGTCCCTGATTGAGTCTATCTCACGGACTCTGGAAGGCGAGTTCAAGATCTATCTGGCTGGCCTGCTTCCTCTGATGCTGGGCCTTCTCGAGAAGGACACATCTGTGCGGCGTCTTCCCTCGGAGAAGGTCTTGCACGCGTTCCTGGTATTCGGTTCTAGTAGTGAAGAGTACATGCATTTGATCGTGCCCGTGATTGTGCGCACATTTGAAAAGCCGAACCAGCCGACCTTTTTACGAAAAATGGCGATTGAGACAATTGGCAAGATTTCTCGTCAAGTCAACCTCAACGACTTTGCGTCCAAGATCATCCATCCCCTGAACCGCGTTCTCGCGAGCGGCGAGTCTTCGCTGCGGGTGTCGGCTCTCGATACCCTGTGCGCTCTCATCCACCAACTCGGCAAGGACTACCTGCACTTTATGAACATGGTCAACAAGACCATCCAGCACCAGGGCATCCAGCACGCCAACTACGAGCTCCTCGTCGCCAAGCTGCAAAAGGGTGATGTGCTGCCACAGGATCTGACCTCGGAGACTCGGTTTGCCGATCAGCTGGATGAGGTATCCTTCGCCGAGCAGCCCACCAAGAAGCTCGAGATGAATGCAATTCACCTCCGCGCTGCTTGGGAGACCAAGGGTAAGTCGACCAAGGAGGACTGGCAGGAGTGGCTGCGGAGCTTCAGCACCACACTTCTGAATGAGTCGCCCAACCACGCACTCCGTGCCTGCGCTGCGCTGGGCAACGTATACCCACCTCTCGCCCGCGAGCTTTTTAACTCGGCATTTGTCTCGTGCTGGAGCGACCTGTACGAGAACTACCAAGACGAGCTCATTTCTAGTCTCGAGAATGCCTTCAAGTCCGAGAACATCCCACCCGATTTGCTAGGCCTGCTGCTGAACCTGGCCGAGTTTATGGAACACGACGACAAGGCGTTGCCTATTGACATTCGGGTCCTGGGCCGTGAGGCTGGACGCTGCCACGCCTACGCCAAGGCACTGCACTACAAGGAACTTGAGTTCTTGCAAGACCAGAGCTCGTCTTCTGTGGAGGCTCTTATCTCCATCAACAACCAGCTGCAGCAGTCGGACGCTGCTATCGGCATATTGCGCAAGGCACAGCTGTACTCCGATGGCATTCAACTGCGGGAGACCTGGTTCGAGAAGCTCGAGCGCTGGGAGGAGGCATTGGAGTTTTACGAGACGCGCGAGCGCGAGCTGCCGGAGAACGAGACGACCCCAATCGATATTGTCATGGGCAAGATGCGCTGTCTGCACGCCCTCGGCCAATGGGATGCGCTCGCGACGATCGCCGGCAGCACCTGGGCCAACTCGTCACAGGAGGTCAAGCGACTTATCTCGCCGCTGGCAACTGCGGCCGCCTGGGGCCTGAACAAATGGGACCTGATGGACATGTACCTGCAGGCCATGAAGCGCAACTCGACCGACCGCGCCTTCTTTGGTGCCATCCTCGCACTGCATCGCAATCAGTACCGTGAGGCAGCCATCTGTGTCGAGCAGGCCCGTCAGGGTCTCGATGTCGAGCTTAGTGCCCTCGTTACCGAGTCGTACACCCGGGCCTACCAGGTGATTGTGCGCGTGCAGATGCTGGCGGAGCTCGAAGAGCTCATCGTGTACAAGCAATGTGACGCCAAGAAGCAGGAGTCTCTCCGCCACACGTGGGACCGCCGCCTGCTCGGCTGCCAGCGCAATGCCGAGGTGTGGCAGCGTATGCTGCGCCTCCGCAGCCTTGTCGTTACGCCCATGGAGAACATGCAGATGTGGATCAAGTTTGCCAATCTGTGCCGCAAGTCGTCCCGCATGACCATGGCCGAGACGTCGCTGCAGCACCTTATCGGCAACGAGGACCCTCTCGAGTACACGATCCCCTACTGGGTGGACGCCGATGTCGTGGCCGAACGTGAGTCGAAGCGCGAGCGCGAGCGGGAACGCGAATACCACCGACGCCGCGCCGCACGGGAAAGCATGGCGGGCAACGGCCTGGGCGACGTGGAGAACGGCCGCGACCGCCGCGACTTCCGCAACGGTCGCTTGTTGTATGAGAATAGTGGCTATAACAGCAACAACAACGAGTTGCTCTTGCTAGGCGGCAGCGGCGGACCAAACGGCATGGGAGGCGCCATGAATGCGTCGCTCCACGACGACTATCCCCGCGCGCCGCCGCCACCACCCGCACAAGTCATCTATGCCGTGCTGAAGTACCAGTGGGACCGTGGCCAACTGGCCAAGCAAAAGGGCTCAGGCATTTCTGAGAAGTCGCTCGACTGCCTGCGCAAGTTCACCAGCGACCTCAACTATCGGCTTGAGGGTGCTCGTCAGCAGTACCAGCTTCAAAATAATGTTATGAACAACACGGGCCCCATGACAGCACTGAACAGCGTGGGCAGCGGTGCCAATAACGCGGGCAGCATTGCTAATGTTGGTGGTGGCGGCCAGCTCAACTCGGAAAGCCAGCGCATGCTGCAGGAGCAGACGACCTTGCTCGCCAAATGCTATCTCCGCACGGGTGACTGGACGGTCGCGCTCAACCGTAACACGTGGCGGCGCACCCACGTGCGCGAGGTGCTCAGCAACTACGCGCACGCAACACAGCACAACCCCAAGTGGTACAAGGCGTGGCACGCGTGGGCGCTGGCCAACTTTGAGGTTGTGGAGTTCCTGACGGCGTCCAGCGCGAATGCCAACGGCAGCGGTGCTACCAACGGCGGGCCGAACGGTCAGGTGAACGGCGCGCAGTCATCACGGAACGGCAGCGTGTCGTCATCGCAAAACAGCCGACTCAACGCCAACGGAGCAAGTGACAACGCTGCTTCCGGCCCAGTCGATTACAGCAGGGTCCTCGAGCACGTTGTGCCGGCCGTGCACGGCTTCTTCCAGTCGATTGCGCTGTCCAAGGGCAGCACGCTGCAGGACACCCTGCGCCTGCTGGCCCTCTGGCTGACACATGGTGGCCACCCCGAGGTGAACTCAGCGGTGACGGACGGCTTTGCGCTCGTCAACGTGGACACGTGGCTCGAGGTCATTCCGCAGCTGATTGCGCGCATCAACCAACCGAACAAGCGCGTGCAGCAGTCGGTACACAACCTGCTGGCGGACGTGGGCCGGGCACACCCCCAGGCGCTGGTGTACCCGCTGACGGTCGCGATGAAGTCGTGGCAGAACACGCGGCGGTCGCGGTCGGCCGCGCAGATCATGGACAGCATGCGGCAGCACAGTGCGAAGCTGGTGGAGCAGGCCGATCTCGTCAGCCACGAACTTATCCGGGTGGCCGTCCTGTGGCACGAGCTCTGGCACGAAGGGCTGGAGGAGGCGTCGCGTCTGTACTTTGGCGACCACAACATCGAGGGCATGCTGTCGGTGCTGCAGCCGCTGCACGACATGCTCGAACGCGGCCCCGAGACGCTGCGCGAGATCTCCTTTGCACAAGCGTTTGGTCGTGACCTTAGCGAGGCGCGCGAGTGGTGTAAGCAATACGAGATCAGCCACGACGTCAGCGACCTCAACCAGGCCTGGGACGTGTACTACCAGGTTTTCCGGCGCATCACGCGGCAGCTGCCGCAGATCACTTCGCTGGAGCTGGCGTACTGCTGCCCGAAGCTGGTGACGGCTCGTGACCTGGACCTGTCGGTGCCGGGCAAGTACCGCAGTGGACAGCCGGTGATCCGGATTATGTCGTTTGAGACGACGTTTACGGTGATTAGCTCGAAGCAGCGGCCGCGCAAGCTCAACATCAACGGCAGCGACGGTGCAAGCCACACGTTCCTGCTCAAGGGCCACGAAGACATCCGGCAGGACGAGCGGGTGATGCAGCTGTTTGGGCTGTGCAACACGCTGCTGTCGATGGACTCGGAGTCGTACAAGCGGCACCTCAACATTGAGCGGTACCCGGCGATCCCGCTGTCGCAGAACTCTGGCCTGCTGGGCTGGGTGCCGAACAGCGACACGATCCACGTGCTGATCCGCGAGTACCGCGACTGTCGCAAGATCCTCCTTAACATTGAGCATCGCATCATGCTGCAGATGGCGCCGGACTACGACAACCTGACGCTCCTGCAAAAGGTGGAGGTGTTTGGGTATGCGCTGGACAACACGACGGGCCAGGACCTGTACCGGGTGTTGTGGCTCAAGAGCAAGAACTCGGAGGCGTGGCTGGAGCGGCGCACCAACTACACGCGGTCGCTGGGTGTGATGTCGATGGTGGGCTACATTCTGGGCCTGGGCGACCGGCACCCGTCGAACCTGATGCTGGACCGGGGCACGGGCAAGATTATCCACATTGACTTTGGCGACTGTTTCGAGGTGGCGATGAAGCGCGAAAAGTACCCGGAGCGGGTGCCGTTCCGGCTGACGCGGATGCTCACGTATGCCATGGAGGTTAGCAACATCGAGGGCAGCTTCCGCATCACCTCGGTGCACGTCATGCGCGTGCTGCGTGCCAACAAGGACAGTGTCATGGCTGTTCTTGAAGCGGTGAGTCACCCCACTCTGCACTGTCGACATTGTGTGCTCCTGCTGACTTTTTCCTTTCTTTTTCTTTTTTTTCTTTCGCATTTAGTTCATTCACGACCCTCTCCTGACGTGGCGGTTGACGAATGCCCAATCGCCTGCCGGACCCAACTTCCAATCGGAGCGCGAACTGGCGCTGGTTGGACCGCAAGCAGGCGGCGGCGGCGGACGTGCCCGTCGGCCGTCTGTGCTCGACAGCAACATGGCACCGTCGGAGCTGCTGGCGGGTGGTGATGTGAATAGCGCTCAGATTGGCATCGTCGGCGGCCCACCGGGCGCCCGCGGTCGCGCACGCACCAACAGCTCGCTCCCCCCGCCGACCACCAACGGAACCAACCCGAACGGCACGAACGGCGACACGAACAGCGCCAATCCGAACGGCGCAAGCGGCCTCAATGCCTACGGGCAGATGGCGGCGCCCGACCCAGTGGAGCTGCAGAATGCGCGGGCGGTGGAAGTGCTGGACCGTGTGCAGCAAAAGCTGACGGGCCGCGATTTCAAGAATGAGGAGGAGCTGGAGGTGGACATGCAGGTCAACAAGCTGATTGGCGAGGCGACGCGGCTGGAGAACCTGTGCCAGCACTACATTGGCTGGTGCAGTTTCTGGTAGCGGCCGGCGGTACGTGACGTTGATTATGTGTCTGTTTTTTGACTTTGTTCCGACGGGCATTGATCTATTTCTTGGGAGTTGGAAGGGCACGACAAACGGGGTTTTGTTTTTTTGAGGTGTACTTACCTTCGTCTTGTGTCTTGTTTGTTTTGATTCGCCTATGTTTGTTTTCTTTTCACATATCTCCTCGTCTGCTACAGATTAAGCAGTTTTTGTCGGTTTATCAGCGTCAGCTTGCCCTTGTGGAAATTTAATCAACAGTCATGAAGCCAGAGGAACGGTGACAGGTATATTAATATGTGCAAACCTAGCAATCTTTGCCCGGCAAAGAATAACATGACTTCTGATATAGTTGCAAGATACTCATGAACGGCTAGATAAAGAAAATGACGAAAACCAAAGAACTCCCGACGCTCGCAACGCCATAAGGGAAAAGAAAATGCCATGAACCCCCCGACTCCTCCCAACGCCGTACAATACAGGCCGCACAAATACAGGTCGTTTGACACCACTGCCTCCTCTCCTGCTCACAGCTCACAGCCCAGAGTCGGTCTGCTGGAACGGATCCGTCGGCTCGTAGGCGTCCCAGTTGCGGCAGTTTTGGTTCAGCGCGTTGAGGTCCATGGCCTGGCGGATCTGGGAGCGCTTCTCCACGAACTGGGCGCTCAGGCCCTGGCTCGCGTGCCAGGCAATGTGGCAGTGGAAGAGCCAGGCGCCCGGGTTGGTAGACTCAAAGGCGACGAGCAGCCAGCCAAAGGAGGGCAGCATGGTGGCGTCGCGGCGGACGGGGTTGGCGGCGCGGAGTTGGTTCTTGTCAATCATGTTGAACTCGACGGGGCCGGCGGTGGGACTCAGTGGGTTTGCGGGCGCCGGGCTCTGGCCGAGGATGAGAAAGTCGTGGCCCTGGGAAGCGTTAGCGAACGACGAGGGACGAGGGATGAGGGCAGCGAAGCGAGGACTACAAATCACGTACATGGAGATGCATGGGATGCGGCACGGGCGACTCGTTCTGGATGAGCCAGAAGCTCCAGGTGGCCTTTTCGTCGAGGATGATAATGTTCTCGCTGGTGTTGAAGGCACCAAAGGACGAGCCGCGGTCGTTGAGGGTCTGGAGCGTGGGCTTGTCCCAGGCGACATCAATGGCGGATCCGTTGACGGACCAAAAGACGCGGGGGCCCTTGACGCTGAGCGCGACGGGCAGCGTATCGCGCGCGACGGGCTCGAACTGGGCGAGCGGGGCCGTGCGCGGCACGATGGGCACAAAGTCGGTGTTGTCGGCGCAGAACGAGTCGGGGGGCGGCGTGCCGGGGTCGGTGGGCAGGCCGACGGCGCCCGGGTGGCTGCCGCCCTTGTTCCCCGCCGTCGTGTTGTGGGGGCTGTAGACGGGCGCGCCCTCGTAGTGCAGGATGGCGGCGGGCAGGCGGTTGGCCGAGCTGCCGCAGACGTGGGTTCCGGAAAAGGTGGCGTTGATCCAGTAGTTGCCGACGGCCTGGCTGGCGTCGATGGTGACGTCGTAGCGCTGGCCGACGCCGAGAAAGAGGGACGACGTGGTGTAGGCGTCGACGGGCACAAAGTCGGTGGCGATGACGGTCATCTGGTGGCCGACGATGGAGACGGTAAAGGTGTTGTCGACGGATGGGTTGATGAGGCGCAGGCGGTGGCGCTTGCCCGGCGCGAGGGTCACGGTGGCATAGGCGCCCTGGCTGGGGTCGCGCGGGTTGATGTTGGTGCCGTTGAAGAAGAGGTTGTCGCTCGGCGGCGAGACGCCCGGCTGGCCCGGCACAAAGGGGTTGGCCGTGCTGGACACGCGGGCGAGCAGCTGGTCGGCACTGGGATAGTACCAGTCGGAAATGGGGAACGGGCCGAGGTCGATGTCGTAGTCGAGCGAGGCGGGGCCGTTGATGCGGATGGAGCCGGTGACGCCGTAGGCGTACTGCGACGAGACGTGGGTGTGGTACCACGAGGTGCCGTACTGGGTGGCCGTGAAGGTGTAGGTCTTGTTGTGGCCGGGCGGGACGGGGCATTCGGTGACGCCCGGCACGCCGTCGTTGATGTTGTTGTTGAGCTGGCGGAGACCGTGCCAGTGGATGCCGGTGCTGGGAGCATTAGTAGGGTGAAGGAAAAGGTTGAGGAGGTGAGGAGGTGACGAGGATGAAGAGGGCGGGCATATAAAATTATGTGCTCCAGTTTGGGCTTACCCGTTGGTCTGCAACTTGTTGATCACGTTGACGCTGATGGTGTCGCCCCAGTCTGGGCCGTTAGCAGGTGGTATGCAAGCGGGGGGAGAGAGAAAGAGTGAAGACATACTGGCATTGATTGTTGGGCCTGGTGGAAGTGGAAAATGTCAGCACGTCTGGAAAACAACAACAAAAAAAAAAGAGACGACAAATGGTTCCTACCGGGAAATTGGCCTATAAAAATTTTGTTAGCAGGAATTCAAACGAGGAACGAGACTCTGCAAAGAGATAGTTGCGAGACGACGCACCGTTGATCAACATGGCCTTTTGCTTCGATACGCCGTCGGCACCCACATAGCCGTCCACCTCTGTAATCACAAACGTGTAGCTCCGCACCACACCCGTTGTCGGCGTGTTCACCTCCCAGTCCGTGTTGATGTCGAATCCCGGCTGCCAGCACGCCCGGTTGGACGGCGTGTTGCAGTTTTGGCGCTGCGAGCCGTCGGGGCCTAGACCCGGAAAGGCGGAGGCGTCTTCTGCGGGCAGGGCCACGACGGCGACGTCTGGACCAGCCGGCGCTGAGGAGGCTGCTGGCATGGCGGAGGGTGAGACAGAAGAGGTAGAGGCAGAAACAGAGGCAGAAGCGGAAGCAACGGTGCCATTCTGCAGAGGAGCGGTGGGTGCTGCGGCAGCGAGGCCCAAGAACAGCGCACCAGGCGCAAAGGCCGACCAGGCCGATGGTATTCTCATTTTGGGAGAGAGTGTGTAGAAAAGGAGAGAATGTCAACAAATAGGAACAACGAGAACGAGTGAAATGAGATCAATTAGAATAGGAAAACTACACAACGTCTGAATAACAGCAGATTCCAAGACTTGATGTGGGAAGAAGCAGCATATTTTATACGAAGACCGCGCTGCACAACGAGCTTCTTAATGAGCTACCAAAAGATGGATAGCCAAGCCCGCGAAACGGGATCGGATGTTGCTCTCTACGGTTTGAGCGAGGAGGGGTCCATGCCAGGCGCACCCGTGATATGACGAGTGTCACATCTGGAATCTGGGGACGTCCAAGACAGCGCGGTCGCTGGATGGAAAAGACAGTTCCATCAGTCTGGGGAGACGGGGCAGGAGAAAGACGATGGCGAGGATCGGCATTCGGATCGTGTAAGAAGTGGCCAGCTGCGGAAGCAGAAGGAAAGGCCCAACTAGGAAATTGTAGGAAGTAAAATGATACGGGAAATGACAAGGAACCCCGACAATGGACAATGACCAGCTGCAAACACACAGACCGCTGGCCAGTACAGCACGATCGTGAGATGGAGTGTTGCAGTCAACGCCGACGAGTTGAGATGGCCAGGGAGCAAGGGGCAAAGACGATACGCCCAAAAGCTGGTCGGAAACACGACACGCCTTTGTCGGCAAGGAGCACGAGGTAGATCAAGTCAAAACGTCACTGGGGCAGGGGTCGAGAAAGTGACTAATGGGAGTAGGAAGAGACAGAAAAAAAAACTTGAACATAGAAAATAGAAAACATATTAATCCAAAAGAGAAGCAGAACGGCACACTGCACAGTCATGTGCGTACTCCGTTGAGACAAGCCACATGGCCAAGGACAACAACCAAGGAGACCAGCAGGAATCCGACCGTCGAAGACGAGAAAGTGATGAGACGGGGCGGCTGGCCACGTTGAAAAAGAGTGCTGTGCGTCCATAGCGACTTGGCGTGTTTATTTACTTTCATCATCACCTTCTCCTCGTTCATAAACAATCACCGAAACATTGCTCGACAGCAAACAAACTGCTGCTCAACCAGGTCGATTGCAATCCAGGTCTTGATGGATGAGAACAATAGGAGCAGCATGCTCTTCCCGACTTTTACTTTTGTCTGGTGCTATTTTCGTTTCCCAAGACGGCTAAATGGGCAGGAAAATTGGGAAAACAGAGACTTGCACTGGAAAAATAGCGATGTGCTGCTGATGCTCTGGATGTTGCAACAAAAACCCGGAAGACGGAGGCAGGATGGAGAGGGAAGGCCGGCAAGACAGGTGCAAGAAGCGGTCCAAAGTGGGTGTGTCGAGTCGAGCCGTGTCCAGCAACCAGGAGTTTGGAGGCGAGGCGGCACAGTGAAACGGCCAGCGGATCGAGCACATCCGGGCGAATGGTGTGGATGTTCTGGGAGACGGGAGCGTTGGAAGGAAAGGGAATATCGACCCCTGTCTTCCAACACGAGATGATGTCTGTGAGTAGAATGGCGCTAGAAATACGACAGAAAAAGTCCAAAGTCAAAGTCACACTCAAAAGTTCAGATTTCTGGGGAATCCTGGACAAAAGTCGGGGTTCACGGCCCTTCTACGACCTCACGGTGATGCATTGTAATGGTGTCCTCTGTGGCGTATCCTTTCCTCAAATCAAGTTTGCCCAGACATGTCGCGTGAGACGTTCCCGTCCATTTTTACTTCTATTTTATTTTATTTTTCTTCGTCGTCACCCTCCCCTCCATGAACGATCGTCACGTCTGGCGCCGCCGATGAGGGCAGCCCTGTAACCTGGGACCCGTGCGCACGCACCCCTGCCAACCGATGTCATCATTCAAAAAAGGAAAACCCCTGCAGGCGATCCCCCTTTGCGGCCGACGGCCAACGACGACGACAACAGTCAAACCATCGGCGACACACTGCGGCCATCAACTGGCCGGTCCCTTCGTCGGCCGCCTTCATAAGAGAAACCAGGTGCCTCCGCCACACGGCATGATGCGATGCGCAAACATGAGGTGCAAACGCGACGAGTGAACCACGAACGCGCCAACTGAGGAAGGACTATGACACTCTCTCACACTTTGATGAACCGCTGGCAGAGGACTGTCGGTCAGTCTTCCCTCGATTAATTCTACGAAAAAAAGCCTGCCTCGCTCTGTCGGCTATGCCCTCTCCGAGAAGAATCAGAGACAATAGAGGTCGCAGTGTCGATGATGGAGTGCCAACAAATGGCGGCCGACCAGAGATGGAGCACAACGTGGCATTGCTTGTCAGGATCGAGGATGTTGAGAGGGACAGGAATGAGAGATGGACGGCAATACGACACAGATACCATCCATTCTCACTTGTTTATTTTGCTGTCCAAAGCGTTAATTTGAAATAGATAAGTGCAACTGCAAATGTATGAAGCTCTGCATGTTTGCACTTTTGCATGTCAATACAAGGTCTCTCAGGTTGAAATCCTATCAAACGATTTACGCACCACGAGCATCAACACCAACCAGAAACCACTCCAAATCGTTCCCCCACTATGAAAATCAACGGCTCGTAGTTTCTTTTAGTCCACGCTTCAAATGATCGATGTATTTACCAGGAACGAGAGAGAGTGATGTTGTCGATGTGAGGCGGATGCTCACCCAGAGACGTTCACCTCGCCAAACATCGCCTTCATGCTGTCCACCCACCACCTCGTGCTCTTCTGTTTGCGATCATCAACGTCCTTTCCTGGATAGCAGAGTCTTGGCAGCTTCTTCTATTTTCTGTGCCGTGGCCATCGTCCGGACCCTTTGTCTTCCATCCTCCGTCTGCTGTCGACTGGATGCTGTTTCGTTTCCGGTCGCTTGTTTGTATGATTCCATGGGCAAGGAAGCACGTCATGACACTGAAATCCGTCGGCGGGCTGCCTAAATGCTGATTTTCAAAACAGAATCACTGCTGCACACATCATGACTATGATGGTAGACGCGTTGCTGTCACGTGGGCTGTCATGCACCTGCCATCATGGGTGCCCATTCACCTAGACACTCACACCCGTGCCAAAATGCCGTCACTTTGCCATCTGGACTTCAATTTGGCTCGACTGAACAAAGGTACTTAGGGAATATGAGTTCACTACGGTTTGAGCTTGGCACTTGTGGTCATCTATTCGTCAACGTAGTCTTGTCGAACGGGGAATTAAACCCATGTTTGAGGCGTCAAATCGTGACTGCCCAACATGGCAACACCTCGAGTCGCTCCTTCCTTGTTTGCATCTTTACAAAGTGCTTCGCTCACCCCCGATCTTGCCTTCCTCTCAAAGTAATTATTTGACCAGACAACCAGACAGCCAGGCGAGCACAATAAAAAAAGGAAAGAGGCTTCTCAAGGTCATTGCGACTCGCCGCTCTTGCGACGTCACCAATACTACCGTCGGTCGCTTTCGGACCACCACAATAAACCCAACAACTATCTTCGCGTCTACAGTCATATACTCACTATGGGCGGCTGCAGTGCCGTACAGAATTTCTCCTTGCCCAGTCGCTCAGGCACTCTACGGCCCGTTTCACCGCGTCCCGAAAGTAGCAGCGGGCATCGCAGCCGGGCAGATCGCGACAACAACAGCGATCCAGGAAGTGACCTCAACCTCGTCTTCGAGCGCAACCGCATCCGTTCGCCGACACCCACGGCTCTGCAGCTGTTTCAGTTTGCCGATGAGGACAGTACCGCACGTCTGGCCATGAGTCGATCGAAAGGCAATCTGCCACGGCCCATGTCAACCTCATCGTCGGCACCGGCACTCACTGCCGTTGGTTCGATGGGTGCCGGTGTTGCTGGTGATGGTTGTGACAACGACACAATGCGAGAGGACCTCGACAACGGTCCCGGACAGAAGCAAAGCCGTCCTACCACGCCCCAACAGTCCCAGAGCAATGCTGCGGCCAATACCCACCTCAGTCTGGGTCCCATCTCGCCGACACTGTCTGTCTGGCCGCGGCCGATGAGTGTCCTTGACGACACCCCAACACAAAATAGCAACGGCGTGCTAGAAAAGGAAAAGAACACACTGACTTCCAGCGTTCGTGCGCAGCGGGTCCTCTCAAATGGTACGAGAGACGCCTTTTCCGATGGCAACATCGACCGTGACCGCGACCTCGAGGCCAGCATCACTAGACATACCGCGAACAACAGCACGTACAATGAGCCGCCCAGTCTCGCCCGCTCCATCTCCATCCGCTGGGGTCCCCGCCTCCGCCACATTTCGCTGAGCGAAGTCCAGGCGGCCGATGACGCCGCCCGTCGCGTGGCTGCGGTCCGCCGCGAGCGCCGCGTCTTTTGGATCTTGGTTGTTCTCGCCCTCCTGGGCGTGCTGTCGTGCACGGCCGCGGTCACCCTCGCAGCCGCCCAGGCGGCCATGCAGGTGGGTGTCGAGGAGATTGGGCCGGATCCGGGCGGCGGGGGTCCGATCTGGGACGTGCGTACGCTGGCCTGGCTGGTCGCCAGTCTGGTGGTGTGTACTGCGGCTGCCGCCGGATTGGCCATTGCTACATCGGCACGGTGCCGTCGGCGGCGGGACGGAAACAACGGAGCCTACTCCCCGACCGACAAGGCCATCCTCACGCAATTGATCCAGAGCGGCCGCCGTTGTCGAAGGGGTGGCGGGCCTGGCGCCGAAAGTCGCTGCAGCCACCGATTCTCGACACTGTTTGCGCACCAGCCTCCACAGCACCAAGCCGCTGATGGGATCACAAGGGACACGCGAGACAGTCGTGCGGCTTGGGTCGAGATGGTTGACATGGAGGAGCGAAGCGAGGACCCGAACACAGAGGTCATGAACCGCTGGTGGTCGCTCGGGCGGAGGGGCAAAGGCGGGCGGTTGACAGGCATGGGCGTCGATGGAACATGTGTGGCCAGCGGCGAGCAGGTCGGCATCCGCGACGAGGACCGCAACTGGCTCAAGTTTACACAGGACCCGGTGCGGCTGCGTCGTTATGTCGAGGCACTAGAGGCTCGCCTTGCCGTTGTCGATGCGGTCGGCGTTGAAGGCACACCAGAGGCCGTGCCCATTGACAGAGCCGACACGACTACGCGCCTTCCACAACACGGGGTCGTCCGGTCGCCTGCAATGGCCGTCCTGCCACGGGAGTCGGTCTGTTCGCCGATCACAATACCTGGCCACGACATATTTTGATTTTCTCTCATTTATCGTTTGTAGCCTTGTGTGGCTAGTGTGTGCCATTTATTTTGATTCATCTTCTTGTTTTTTTTTTTTTTTTTTTTTTTTTTTTGGTTTTTTGTCCCCTTTGTCTTTTATTTTATCTTGAAGAGACACATCGATCACTCGTTCTCGTTTGCTTGTAGTCTGAACGGTGTTTTGGGAAATATGCATGGAAAGGGTACATGGGATATGTAGGTAAATGCAATAATAAAACAATGAACGCCTAGTCTAGGATTAAATGCTTGACAATACACTGTAAGAACGAAATACTCGTGAAAACAAACCAAGAAAAGAAGAAACGAAAAAGAACATGGAAACGAGACCAGCCAAAACAGCCTAAATTGCCCGCTCAGCCCGCGCCCGGTTCTCGCGGTACCGCTTGTCCTTGGCCGCCGTCTTGCGCCGCCGCTTCCACGACCGGTTGAGATCGCCGCGGTTGTCCCAGAACCAGCTCTGGAAGTCGCCCTCGCCGGCAGCCTTTTCCTTCTGGTCCTTGTCGCCATCCACTTTCTCGTCCTCGTCGCCGTCGTCGTCATCGTCGGCGGCGCCGTCATCCTCGCCCTCATCGTCGCTGGCACCGCCTGGTGTCGGCCATTTGAAGTTGCTCGTCATCCGGCTCGGATGCGCCGTGTCTGGTGTCGGCGCTGCGCTGCGCACATTCCGCCATTCAAACTCGGCCCGGCCAAACGGCGTCATGGGCGGCTGGGGGTCAGCGTCGTCGTTTTCGTTTTCGTTGTCCTTGCTATTGCTGTTCTCGACAGTGACCACGTCCATGGAATCGCCCTCCTCGTCCTCAATGTCGTCGTTGTTCATGCCGCCAAAGAAGCTAAACGGCTGCTCCTTGTCTTTGCCGGCCGACGGCGTTGCTGCCTGCTTGGCTGCGTCCGTTTCCGGCTTGGCGCGCTTGTACAGCGCCTCGAGAGGGTGCACCTCCTTCTTGGGACCCGGGGTGGATGGCGTCGCAAACGTTGGCGGCGGTGGGATTTTGATCATGAGGTTCTTGCCAGAGCCAGAGGAGCGTGGACGTGTTGGTGATAGCAGGGTCACCTCCTCGGCCGAAGGAACAGGCTCGTCTTTGGGGTCGGACACCTCGTCCTCGTCCTTGTCGTCGTCATCGTCATCCTCCTCCGAGCTATCACTGCCGCTGCTGCTCGTCTCCGAGCCCGAGCCCAAGCCAGTGGACTCGCTCTCGCTCGCCTCATCGCCCTTCCAGGCCCTGGCGCGATCCGCTGCCACCGCATCCAGCTTGGCCCGCTTTGCGAGCTGTGCTTCCTTGGTGATTACGCCTTTCACTGTCACGGGCCGCGTGCTTTTGAGCGGCTGCACCACATCGCCCGTCGCCTCATCTACCCAGCCCTTGCCGTCGACATACTCGAGGTTGGCGTTGCCAGCGTTTGTGCCGCCGGCGCCGCCACTCTTCAGGAACGTCGGAATCCGTGTCCAGTTGGCAAACTCGTGCACGACCACCTCGCGTGCCTTTTTTGCCTCTTTCCGGGCCCGCCGTGCCGCCCGGCTGTCGACCTCTTCTTCGCCGTCTTTGGGCGTGGGAACAGCCGGCATGGCCACCTTGTTGGCCGGGAGGATCGTTTTGAATAAGCACTCAGGCTTGTCTGTGTACTCGGACTTTTCGGCCCGCTTCTTCGTCGACTTGCCCTTTTCCTTCTTGTCCTTCTTGTCCTTGCTCCAGTTGGTCTTCTTGTTGCTCAACTCGGCCGCCGACTCGGGTTCGGTCCAGCCGCGCTTCACCTGCCGGCCGGCTTCGAGCTGCACGCCCACCACCTCCTCACGTTCTGTCGGGATGCGACTCGTCTTGCCCCGCGCCTTGTCGGCACGCTTCTTTTCCTTGCGCGCTGCGCGCTCCTCCTCTTTGCGCTGCCGCTCGTCCGACGTCAGGTCCGACTTGCACATAGTGGCACGTGTGTCTGCCGCTTCCGCCTCTTGATTCGACTGCCTCGCCGGCTCGATGCGCAGCTTCACGCCCTTGAGGACGGCGCCGTTGAGCTTTCGCCGCAGCTTCTCGGCCGCTTCGGTCGGCAAATCAACGAACCCGTACCGCTTCTCGGGGAACGTCTGCAGACTGTGAAACGAGACGTTGCGGGCGCTGGGGCGTGCAGAGGCGGGGACGACCACGCTCAACAAGTCGGCGTCAAAGGGGGTGATGTGCAGGCGCGTATAGCCCGGGTCGGCGGCGGCCTTGACAGTCTGGGCGATGGATGGGCGCGTAGGCGGCGGGGGCAGTTTCGACGGGGTCGGGGCCGTGGGGCGATCAAAAACCATGGCTGGGGTTGGGTCGTATCGTGGGAAGGAGACGGGAGAAAAAAGACGAGATGTCCCTGTCGCCGTCCACAAATGTAAAAGACAAAGGAGAAAGTCAATAAATCTGGCAGAGAAATGCAGACTCAAAGGGCGCTAAGGAAAAAAAGTAGATCGACAAAGCTCGATAAGGGTCACGTGCACCAACGGTCGTCCAAAATACAAGACGCCCTGCGGCTCATCTGAAAGAGCAAAGACTACTTTCGTAGAAAGTCATATTGGTATCATGTTAGGAAAAAGGACGTCGTTGAAAGTTTTTCGCTCTCATTATGTCCCATTAAACAAACACAATTGACGTCGTTCTGATCAATCACAGCCTTATGCCATCCACTAGCGACAAGATTAGCGCAATCTACACTGAATTTCTAGAACTTGTCCGGGGGAGTTTCAGCCAGCCATTAGCAAGAGATTAGCGACTAGTGTACGGCTTTCAGCAGGGGATCAGTCTAGGTGATCTTAATAGAGGATATTCAAATATGAGAATAGGAGAGTATATTATTTCGTACGTCGAATGTCAAAAAGCCATCGCGTCAGTACGACTATGCAAATATGCAGGAAGAAAACAAAGCAAAGAATACAAAAATACGCCGCCAAGTCTATAGATAATGCCCGTTGCAGCCAAAACCAAACCCATATCGTAAAAAAATCCATCTCCAAACGTGACAGGAAAACAAAAAAGGGATAAAAAAGATGCGCTGATGAAGTCATGTCGTCCTCGATTCAAGGGTGCAGCTTGACCCTGTTGCGGGTGTTCGTCGTCACCTACTCCGACCGGCCGCCCTCCCGCGCAACACCGCCAGACGCCCGCCACCAGACGTCGCCGCCCCAGCGGATCAGCCGCTCGGCGGCGCCCGAGGGCGTCATGGCCGGGCGCACGTCCAAGTAAAAGACCGGCTCGCCCGTCGGTTCGGGCTCTCCCGAGTAGTAGTCGATGACGTAGCGGACCTGTTTCTCTTGGCCGTTGACGTTGCGCGCGACGTACCAGTCGTGGCGGTCAAAGGGCGGCTCGGTCGCAAACTTGGACGGGTAGATGCGGCCCAGGAACTGCACCATGGCCGCCTTCGGGGTCATCTCACCGGGGCGGCCCTGGAAGCGAACCAGCCGGGGCGCGCACTCGCTGCCCTCCTGGCGCTCCAGCTGCTGCGTGGCCTGCTCGGCATTCTCCTCGCCGCGCCGGCTGATCTGCCAGCCACGGGCCAGGCCACGGCCGAACCGGCGCTCCCAGTCGATAATCTCGGCCCAGGCGCCCTCGTTCAAAAAGTTGTGCACCGCGACCATGCTCTCGACGGCCGTGGCGTCCGTGTCGGTGTAGCCCTTGCGCAGGAGCGCGTTGTACATTTGCTGCGGGGACGGGTACTCCCAGTTGCCGTCGCCGTCGCCGCGGGGAATGGTGGACTCGTCGCGGGTTGTCGGCAGAGCGACGGTCTGGTTGGGGGCGCGGTTTTGCGAGAGGTCGCGGAACATGTAGTTGAGGGGGTTGAGCTTGGAGAGGGTGGACGCGCCTTCGTCGGCGGATGTGGCACCGCCGCGTTGGGCGTGAGGGACGGGGCAGCCAGACGGCGGCGAGGCTGCAGAGGTAGAAGACGACGACTTTGCGGTCGGATGGGAGATGTTGTTGCCGCTCAGGGCGTCGACCGTGGCCGTGTGCATGGGGCAGCCGCGCTGGGAGGGTTAGCGAGGAACGTTGACCAGAAAATGAGAGGTCGCGTCTTCTTACCGGTGGTGTTGCTGCATTGCCGCCCGCGACGGGCGGATGTGATGCTGGCAGCTTGACAGGGCAGGCCGAGGCAGAAGAAGACGCAGAGAAGGACGAGGCAGAAGGCCGAGCTGCCGTCGGCGTGGCATCAGCCCAGAACCAGCCCATTGTGATGTTGAGAGTGTCGAGACTGTTTGGACAGGTATGCGTGCGAAATGGCGTTGAATTGGGTGTAGGCTAGTTCAAAGATCACTGTTGCTGTCGATTTGCGCAAGACGTGGTCATTCGTCGTCTTTTCAAATATGCCTGCTTCAACTTTTTAATGGGTCGAAAAGAAAAAATGAGGCAATGGATCTGCGCTGTTTATCAGCACGCTGCCGCCTTGTCTCGGTGTCTGTTCCCTATTAATGCCCCGCTGTTGCCGTATTACACGGTGCCTCTCTAGGCCTCTTTTGCGCGGCTTATCGCTATTTGCCGCCCGACACCGCCCGAAAGCGATCGAATTGTCCTTTTTTTTTTTTTTTTTTAGGTGGCAGTTTTTGGCTGCCTCGCTGCTTTCGTCTTTAGGAGCATTCCGGCCCCACCCGACCATCACATGAAGACTGGATTGGGCAAGAGGCGCTAACAAAGGTACGCCAATGTCAGCGTAAGCCCCCGCTGGGTTCGCTGCAACTACGTCACGATGGCCGAAACTGCACCTAGCGCTTTGTTGATGTCCGCTCGCTGAAATACGACGCACCACTTGTCTTTTTGGAAAACGACACTTTCGCGGCAGAGGTACGCTGACAACCGTCTCTGCGTCTGTTCTCGTCCTCGCTTGACCATGCTGCCGTGATCATCCAATCCCCAATTCTCTCTCGCTCTCTTCAATCCGCCTCACGGGGCTTCGCCTGGATCCCTGACACCTCACAATGAGGCTGCCCCAAGCCACTTCGGCCGCCCGGCTGACGACTCTTCCGCTTGGATTCCCACACTCACTACTCCCTCTTCACTCGTCAATGCTCCGATTTCGGGCGTCTCGACTACCAATTGCTTGCGCATGCACGCCAGCACGACACCATTTACGATTACTTCACAGCACGGCGCGCCGAGCCGTATGGGAGTCTTCCCGGAGCAGGGTGGTCCACTCAAGGTCGCATCATTCGAGAGCACGAGATAAGAAGGAGGAGAGCAATAGTAGCAAAGGACCAAATCCGAATGGACAGTCTTACGGACAGTGGAATGGCGGACAGCAACGGACAAGGCGCGCCCGCGTCACACTCCTGGCAGCTATCCACGGCGGTACGGCTGCCGCCCTCGGCACAGCGGCCTTTGTCGAACTCAGCGAAGAGGACAATGCCGGCACCGGATACACGACCGAGTCCCGCATGCTCGATGTGTCCCGGGAAGAAATAGACAAGAAGCGCGCTCACGTCCACGACGGCGACGGCCGCATCATGTCGGCCTTGCACTACATCGTGCGGATTCTCGATATGTTTGTATGGGAGCCGCTATGCACGGGCCTGCGGTTCCTGCAGCTAAGCTGCCTTTTTGTGCCCGTCATTGTGGCCGTGCCTGTCCTGTGGGTCGGCCAGCGGCAGCCCGACCGCGACGGCGAACGGTCCGGCGCGCTGTGGTGGTACGGCATGTTGGTGAGCAGCATGGAGCATGCGGGGCCAACCTTTATCAAATTGGGCCAATGGGCGGCGTCGCGGTCCGACATCTTCCCACAGGAGCTGTGCGAGATCATGTCCAAGCTGCACTCCAATGCGCCGGCCCATTCGCTGCGGACCACCAAGAAAACGGTCGAGGCCGCCTTTGACAGGCGGCCCTTTGACGAGATCTTTGCCGAGTTCCAGGAGGAGCCGTTGGGCGTGGGCGCGATAGCGCAGGTCTACAAGGCCAAGCTGCGGCCCGACCTGGCGGTCCCTGGCGACGTGGACGTGATGCATGTGAAAGAGGGCGGCGCTGGTGGTGGCATTGGCCGGGGTGGTTACGGCGACGACGACTACGCTTCGTCTGCCACTTCGGTCCCCCAAAGCCTGGCGGCCGTGCGCGAAAAGGTGCAGAGCAACGTTCGGCGACACGTCGATCCGCTGCTCAAGAGTTCGCCCCAGCGCGTGCCCTCGTCGTACGTGGCCATCAAGGTGCTGCACCCCGGCGTCGAGCGCACGGTGCGGCGCGACCTGCGCATCATGCACTTCTTTGCTTCTCTTCTCAACGCGGTGCCGGGCATCGAGTGGCTGTCGCTGCCCGACGAGGTCGTGCAGTTTGGCGAGATGATGAAGCTGCAGCTCGACCTGCGCATCGAGGCGGCCAACCTGGCCATGTTCCGGCGCAACTTCCGCGACCGCACGACGGCGTGGTTCCCGTTCCCCTACACCGAGTTTACGACACGCAATGTGCTCGTGGAGGAGTTCGCGCAAGGCATTCCGCTGGCCGACTTTATGGAGAATGGCGGCGGTGTGTTCCAGCACGACATTGCCTCGGAGGGGTTGGACGCCTTTTTGCGCATGCTGCTGCTTGACAACTTTGTGCATGCCGATCTCCACCCGGGCAACATTATGGTGCGCTTCTATAAGTCGGCCAAGCCAGAGCTGTCTCTGACGGGGCCACTTCAATCGGCCTCGTCTCCGTCTGCGTCGCGGTCTTCGTCTTCGTCTTCTGGAGCCTCCGGCCAGTCCGGCGGTTTGGACGTCACTGAGCAGGTGCTGGAGCGTCTGCGGCCATACCGGCACGGCAAGAACGTGGCCGCGTGGGAGAGGGAGCTGGCCAAGATCGAGGCCGAGGGCTTCCACCCGCAGCTCATCTTTATTGACACGGGCCTGGTGACACAGCTCAACGAGACCAACCGAACCAACTTTTTGGACCTTTTCCGCGCCGTCGCCGAGTTTGACGGGTACAAGGCCGGCCACCTCATGTGCGAGCGCTGCCGCCAGCCCGAGGCCGTCATCGACAAGGAAGTCTTTGCGCTCAAGATGCAGCACCTGGTCTTGTCCGTCAAGAGCCGCACGCTCGCGCTTGGCAACGTCAAGATTGGCGACATTCTGCAGCAGGTGCTGGGCATGGTCCGCTCGCACCATGTCCGGCTCGAGGGCGACTTTGTCAACATTGTCATCTCCATCCTGCTGCTCGAGGGCATCGGCCGCAGCCTCGACCCGGCCACGGACCTGCTGAGCGCGTCGCTGCCCATCCTGCGGCAGCTTGGCGCGCAGAGCGGCGCCGGTATGATGAAGCAGGGCGACTTCTCCATGCTGCGGATCTGGGTCGGACTGGAGACGCGGCGGTTCCTGCAGGCGAGCGTGGAGGACGTGGAGCGGTGTGTCAAGTACGATCTGCTCTCGCCGAATGTATGATTATGCTACGTGATTACGGTGTACGGCTGTACGAGTGTGATGTGCAGCCAAGTTGAGCAAAAGCTTGACCATGCAAAAAAAGAGGACAAGCCCAGGGACGGCCCTACGGGCAGCTTAAAAGATCGAGATCGGATCGCAAGCTGATGAGACCTGCCGCTGGAAGTGATACCAGAGATTTCATACCAGCCGGTGTTTGATAGACGTCATGGAGCGGGAGTATTAAAGGATCATTTGCACTGGATTATATACAAGAATATACGAAGACCATAATACGACAGACCGGTACCATTGGTGCATACAAACGATACGATGGGCAATTAACTGTGCCTGTACCTGTGTCTGTTTTGAAGCAATGCAAAGTCTAGATGCCAAGCGTATGAGCTCAAGCTCAAGTTCAATGACGGCCCCCGTTGTCCGCGAGTCGTCATACACGTGTCTGCGTCTCTGCAAGATGCAACTGGATGTCATGTTTGGACAGGTGCAGGTGTGCCTGTAGCCGGGATAAAGGGGGAGCAGAGAAGAAATGTGAAACTAATAATAATATAAAACTACAATGTGCATCGTTTTAGAAAGAAATGAAAATAATAAAGAAAAACTAAAAGCAAAACAAAAATGGCGTCAGATGGCGCAAGACGATCAACAACAACAATGGCCTTCAAAATTTCAACGTCGTCAATAAGTCCCTGGACAACACAGCCTACCTTGCCTGCCTCGAAAGACCTGCAAATTGATTCGCAAAGCGTAGCCCGTCTGGCGTGCCAATGCCGAGACCAACCGCTTGTCAGCAAAGCCCAAATGCCCACTGCACCACAGAGACGGAATCACGATGGCCAACGGACAGGGACATGCAAGTCTGCTCAGGGCCAAAAAGAGCATGTAATGACCTAAGTAGGGGGTAATAGAATGCAAAAAAGTGGTTATTGCATGTCATACTTTGCATGTTTTGACAAAGAGGCGCCCGTATTGCGGGCCATTGGCGGCCACTGGCGGCCACCGGCGGGAGGGGGTGCAGTCAGTGCAGGCAACTCGCGGCGACTTTGCACAGAATTTACAGGTCAGGTGTGTGCCACCGTTACGTAAAATGGGTCGAGTGTTGATGAGGGGGAATGCTGAATGCATGGTTCGTGGTACAGTGCGAGCAGGCGGTGTGCGACAGTTCTGACTGCAGCAGGCCCACCATATGTGACTGGTTCCTGACGAATTCTAGGGCTATCAATGAGCTGCCGCTGAGCTGCCGCTGCGCTGCAATGGTTCTGTAATCATGTCGCTGTTCCAAGCTTCTAGAGGTTCCACGTGCACAGTCAGAATGCATGGAGCGGCTCCCAAAATACCAAACTTTTCAGGGCTTACTTTGTAGGCTTCTCGGCACGCCCCAGGAGCCCACTGAAAAATCTATTTCAGCGGCGGCCAAACACACACAGCCACTGTCATAAATGGCACAGTGCCGCTTTCTCGCCCTCTCGATGCTCTTCCTTAGATCTCCACCGGCTTTCTTGGCAACGCCTCGATCCCCTGACCATCCTTTCCGTCCTTCTAAAGTTTTTTGGGCTTGCAATTGTCTTCAGTCTTTGATGTCGTTTGTTGCTGTCGTCACGTTCTTGGACATTGGAAAGCTTGGCTTTCTGGGCCCGTCCCTCTGTTGGCCAGCACCGGACCTCAACTGGCTGCAATCCGTTGCCATTCGTCGCTGTTCATGCATTGTTTTTACGTGATGCTAAGCCTTTTCCAAGACTTTTCTGACTGTTTATATCCCTTTTCTTCGCAACGTGATGCCGACTCATCGTGTTCTGGTTCTCCTGTCTGACCGATGAGAATCTTCTTTCCGTGCCGGGTCACACAGTGCATTTCGTGCTAGTTGTCATAAATGTACGAAGTATTATTGTGTGAAGAGCGGACACGATGGGGTAATCATTATGTGAGAACAATTCAGAGATGGACGACAAAAGACATGAAAAGAAACACATCACAATCAGTGACTTGTTCTGTCAGGCTCAATGCAAGATCAGCACGTTTTCTGTGGTCATCCATGTTCTGGCCCATTCGCTGAAACCCGCAAAAGCACGTCTTGACTCGTAAAATGTCACGATATCTCACACTGTTAACAGGCTGTGAGATACTTGCAAGACACTTTGTGAATGATTTAGCCCCCCCAACACATTCGTAAGAAGCCGAGACTGGACACTTTTGCAACATCCAGCCCTTTCGAACCCCTGCTTTTCTTATTTCATCATTCCCTTGTTTTTTGGTTATTATTTTTTATTTTCCGGTACATGACTGCCCCGCTCGTTGAATCCACTCTACGCTGAACGTGATCGAAAACCAAATGAGCACTTGTCTCTCCCAGTGAGGTACCGTGGGTACATCATACAAAGTATCTTGACAAGAACAAGAACAACAAATCTGAACACGATACTCCATTCACCGTCTCCCCGCATGCCAGGCAATGGGTCCGAAATTGTCCAAAGACGAGCCTCTGAGGTCAATCAACCGTTGAAAGAGAACATGGGTATGATCATGTGCGTCCGGAATGAAGTCATATGGGACATTTTTTCTGCATTGGGAATGACAACACAGACGACAAGGAAGAAACGGTGAGGAGGTAGGTGAAAGTCCATGAGACAATGTTCACGACCAAAGAACAGCGGGACAAAGGTGAGCGTATGAGTGTAAGGTTAGGCAAATGCCCTGTGAAGTGATGCAAAAGCGCCGCAAAGAAGACATACGCGTTGCAGACCTTACAGACGACAGGCCACCGCAACGGGATGTTAGAGCCGAGAGTTTCGGCTAACCTCCTGTCCAGACACAGTGTTCTACGCTCATTCCAGTATTTGCAGCGTCTGTGTAGCCCCTAACACGCCTGTAGCCTTCCACAATCTCTCGGCACACACATATCTTGTAAACCAGGCCTTTAAGCCCGCAAGGGCAATTACCTTTAACTCGAACACGGCCAGTGCTTCCGAAATGGTGAAATGAGCACCACGAAAGAAATACTGAGAGGCGGAATGTGCGAGAAGGCACTTCTGTTGTGAAAGAATCAAAAGAGAGGAGGCGAGACACCGCGAGAACGAGTTCAAGGAAACGAGTGCTGTATTTCAGGCCTAACAGTCACCAAACTTCACTGTAATTACTCCCTACTGAACAGTTATTTTTGGGTCACTCGCTGTTCTCGCCATCGGCGCTGGCGCCAAGACCCGGCCGCCAAGGCCAAGGCAAAATGACACAGCCAGACCCACCCCCAGAAAATTCAGATATGGATCAGGTGTGCCAGAGGGGCGTGTAGGTTCTCTGGTTCTCTGTCCAAAGAAGGAAAGCTCAAGGGGTGTGTCACACAATTACACGCCCAATATGCCACTAACACGAAAAGTCCGGGGGAGTGTATCCAAAACGAGACTTTTGCCTCGCCTGTTGCTTCGCTTCTTTATGTTTTATGTTTTGTGAGAGGAAGCCAAAGGGATATATAGCAATGGGCTCCCGGAAAAGACACGAGTTTTCATGACGACATTGAGCTCAGTTCTTGTGTCTTTTGCATCTTGTTGACTTTTTGTTGTTTCCAGCTTCCGTATTAACTCCTTTGCTCCTTCCTCGTTTGCTGTTTACCTCGTCGCCCTCTTTCCTTCCTCTATACGCTTCATGGCTTTGGATCAATAACGACAAATAGCCTCCTTTCCCCCCTCTCCTTCTCCTTTAAACACCGCCAACTGTCACAACCACCACAATGGCCGCCTTAATAGCATCAACGACGACCGCCAATTCCGCATCCACTTCCACGCCCGAGGTCGCCTCGTGGCAGGATGTTGGCTACCGCTGCCCCCGCCCAGGCTTCTTCCTCGGTGATGACGGCTCCATGGCCACCGCCAAGATCCTGACGCCTTCCAACGAGCTCCCGGCGAAGTGGAACATGGGCCGCCTCAGCGTGCTCCCTCTTGAGCTGATGCACCAGATCGTTGACGACCTGGCCGAGACGGACATCCGCGCCCTCGTGGCCCTGCGCAACTGCAACCGAGCCTCAGCGGCTGTTGTTGACAGCTTCCCCGACTTTGCCACCGTGGCCGCCTTCCCCCGAGCCCTCGGTGCCCTCGTCCGCCTGGCTCCCCCTTCCCCGACAAACTCCTCACAAATTTCACTCCGCGCTCTCGCTAGGTGCCTGCGCACTACGTCCTGCGCCAGCTGTCTGCGCCAGCGTGAAGCCGCGGGCGACATCAGCAGCGACGTCCCTTATGGTGACTTTATTTACCTGCTGGCGCCCGAGCGCGTATGCTACTCCTGCTTCCGCTCCCTGCCTGAGTACCTGCCCGTGGCCCGCTTTGCCGCTGCCGGTAACCACTTGCCTCAGCTGCACCAGCAGCACAAGGATTTGCTGGACAGCCAACCCCTGACAAGAATTACCGTGCCGCCCGGCCGGTATGGCGTGCTGGCGCGCCTAACACAACCGGTTGACCTTTTTGACCGGCGGGAGGTCTATGCGGCTGAGGAGCCCGCGGGTTTGGATGACGAGGGTAGCAGCTCGTCAGCCAGCTCGAGCACGAGCCTGAGAAACATTACCACACCCGAGGTGGACCGCGTCTCCACCGTCCGCGGCCGACCTGTCGTTTCCGGCAAGCGCGGCCTCTCCGTCTCTCCTACACCCGGCAACTCTACCCGACCCGACCCTCTGCGCTACGCCGCTGTCATCCCCGCTCCCTATTGGGCGCTTGACAACAAGACCGTGCGGCCTACGGCCGAAACTCCCGTCGACCGCGGCTACGCATGCCGCGCCTGTGCCCAGACCGACCGCAAGTCGGCTGGGCACGCCGGCTGGGCCGATCCGCTGGCCCGCTACACTGAGAAGGGCCTGCAGCGCCACGTTGCCGATCCCCGCTACGGCGGTCGTGTCCTGCGCCGCCGTGTTGGCCTCACCGACATTTACGAACACGACGCGCCTCGCCGCGGGCACTTCCCGCCACCCGTCGAGTTTGGTGCGACGGCGGATCTGGCACGGCGGTACGAAGCTGTCATCCTCGTGCCGGCCGGTTCGGTTGTTGGTTCGCGGATGTAACACCATCTCCGACAACGGGGACCATCTATCACTGCATTCATGAATGAACGAGAACAAGGGCACGTATCAAATAAAAGTTTAATATTTGGAATTTGGGAACAACAAGGTCATTGGGATCGATTGGGTTTTTACTGTTTTGTTTGGATATGGCATTTACAAGGGTTTCATTCATGGGTATACTGGCGTCCAAAATACTTTGCTTCATAAAAGTATGAACAACATATGAACAACATATGAACTTAATAATTATCATTTACCTTGCCAAATATCACTTTGCAATGGCAAGAATGGAAGATTTGACGAAATTTATTGATAAACCACTAAACCATGTGACAAGATACATGCAATGACAGTACTGAGTAAGGCTGTGATGAGAAGGTGCTGTTGGTGAGTTACCTCACTCATCAGTGAGGGTCCAACATGGGACGACTTGCACATGGCTCCGAAGCGTAAAATTCAAATCTGCAACGACCGTCGGTGATGACAGTTTATCAGACAAGGTTCTGAAGACGAATGTTAACAGCGACAATAAAAAAAAGTCATATTCTCTTCTTCACTACAAATACAATTCATCTCATATCTATTTCTGCCAGTCGTTTCCCGTCAAACTTTCGATGATTAACCCTCAATAGATGCAAAGTAGGATATCAACATAATCACAATCAAATCAAAATACATCGGACCAAATCCAGCTCACACACCAGCCAGCAATATGGGGCCCTTGTATATTGTCGTCTACGCGGCCGTAGCGCTCTTCGAGGCCATAAGGGACCGGCACGATAGGACCTTTCGGCGCCGTGGTAGGATCTTTCGGCGCAAATTGGCCGCCCCTATGGCTTTGATTGCCTGCATTTTGTCTCTTGTTCTGGTAAAAAAACACTTGGTCGACGGCACGACGGCCAGTGTCATCCTCCTGTTGCTCATATTCCGCAACTGGTACAGGAGGTGTATATTTTTGATCGTTTCATACCTGCTTTACTTGCAGGGCATTCTCGGCCTTCGCACTGTGGTATGAACATTGTTATGGTAAATGCATTTTACGGCACTGGCAACCCAAACTACAAAACGTCTATTTGCTAACACCGTCCTGTGCCCAGTTCCTTTGCCATCTATTCCGTCAGATTCACCCCTTCTTGGTTGTCCCGTGCTGCCGGCGGACGCTTGCCGCTGGCCCGCATACGACGACGGGCGTCAATGTACCGCATGTACTCCTCGTACGTGTTGGGCAGCACACGCACGTCCTTGGGCACCGTAAAGGTGTAGTGGAACTGACCCGTCACGCGTGCCGTGCCGTGCTCCATCTCGCGCACCTTGCTGTCGACACGCACATGGACACGCGTCAGCGGTGGGCTGTTGTCTCTGCTGCCGTCGCCACCGCCACTTGCGTCGTCCTCCTCCACCACGGCGGGGTCCGTGTAGACCACCGTCGCCGTCAGGTACAGCACGCTGCCCACCGGCACGGGGCTCCGGAACGTGCACGGGTCGGCGCTCACAAACGTCGGCCGCGCGTGCGCAAACGACGCCGCACAGCAGAAAGCCAGCTCAAACGTTTGCTTCAAGTGGTACCCGCCGAAAATCATGGTCTGGTGCCGGTTGCGGTACTGCGGCTGCATGATGGCGGCCGTCGACAGCTGCGTCTTTGCCATGGCCAGCACATTGGGCGGCTGCCGCAGCGGGCGGTGCGGGTCGTGGTACTCAATCTGGCGCAGCCAGATGCGGTGGATCAGCGCCGACTCCTCGTCGTCCGGCTCGACCTCGAGCAGCGACGTCTTGCGCTCGGCGCGCTGGGCCATGGCCTTGGCGGCACCGGCCTGGAACAAGGCCTCCTGCGCGGGCGTCTCGCACACGAGCCGCGGGATCGGCGTCGGCTTGCGCGTCAGGGGGTCGAGGGCGACCATGGTGAATGTGCACGTGAGCAGCAAATCCTCGGGCCGGCTGGGCTCGCCCTCGCCGCGCGCGCGCGCGACTTTGCACGTGATTTCAGCGCTGCTGCCGCCCGCCGCGTACGTGACCATGCCACTGTACTCGAGGTCGCAGATCTCCGTTAGCGGGTGCGCAAGCTCGATGCGGTCGACGCCCGCCGTGACGGTCGTGACGCCGCCGCCCGTGTGCTTGTACACGATGATGCCCGACAGGGCGTCGAGGTCCATGAAGATGGTGCCGAGGCGGATGTGGCCCGACGAGTTGATGTAGGTATCGGACAGCCAAGGGTCCTGGCCAAGCGGCAGCACGACGCGGTGGTAGCTGTCCGTCATCTTTTTGGGTGTCAAGTCACGCTCCTCGCCGCTGGTTTCCGAAGATCCGACTGTTTGGCCGTCCTGCTGCAACCGGAGCGCCTCGATCCACGGCATGGGCAGCCGTGTGTCGGTCAAGCCGCGAAACACGCCATCGGTGCGCCGTGGCAACGACGTCGTGAAGCACCGGCGGCACCGCGGTGTTGAGGAGGAGGAGGAGTAAGAGGAGGGATAAGAGGAGGGGCCAAGCTGAAGTCGAACTGCAGCTCGAGTGGACGGCCGCGGGGTGCGGGCACGCAAGACAGACAGCAGCCGCTTGGCTGCTGTGCCTGGCGAGGCCATTTTTCTGTAGTAGATCTTGTGTCTGTATAGCTGTGAGCTGGCTGAACACAATCCACGAGTTTTGGAATACGGAGGTGCCGGTGCTAAATGACACCAAAAAGTCAACGTCCACGACAATTGTGAAGGGAAGACCTCCACTTGGAGCCGATAGTGTGCTGTCCACCAATCAGACGCCCGCCAAATCGCCGGTCTCCGCGAAGTTCCCCGATGCGGGCATAGTTTGAGGAAGCGCGATAATGCTATGAACTGGTTTCGACCCAAGGCCAAAGAGTATCAGCTTGTGTGTTATTTTGGGTATCGACAATTTGTACAGAGAGGGTATGTAGCACGGTATTTTGCTGTATTTTAAGCAAGGGATTTTCTCTGTAGAGTCATGTGACTGGCGCTGCTCCCATTCTTTCCCAAAACGGATTGCGTTTTTTTTGTGGTGTAAGTGGAAGTGACGACTGTCACGACTGGAGCAGAAGAATACGCTCTCCTTCCCTCGTGACTGTCGTCTTTGGTTCGGATGTTCCTGTTTAATCTTGACTTTATTTTTACATTCGCGCATCTTGACACCCATCGCTATCTGTCCGGTCTGCCCAGGGGACGGATCGACTACAGCGTGCTGCAGAGTCATGGCACCGCCTGCAACGAAATGGCAGGCTGCAAGGCGACCGCTTGCCTTGGCCAATATTTCCAGCTATCACCGCCCTTTGGGGAGTAAACATACGGCCTCACAGAAAACCAGGCAAGCGACACAGTTTGCAGCAGCTTGCAAAGGTCTTGCAATGTTAGTAGATAGCTCGTCAGTTTAAAATATGGTGAAGCGAAAGCTTGACTTTTATCTCATACGCCGGCGATACGTGTCGTCCGCCTCTTTCTGCACCTCCCCTATCACGAACGACAATGTTTTGCAGAACAACAAGTGCCTAGCCGCAGACGTCACCGCAGTTGTCTACTGCTCGTTGTTGTGTACTTGGCGTTCCTATTCTGCAGTCAAACTTATGTTCCATTCATAGACATGGCGTGGCACCCTTTTGTGCTCAGTAAACGTAAAAGTTCCCCGATCCGCATAAATACATCGTAGATACAGTGTACAAATCAAACGCAATCATGTACATCGCTCATATACAGTCTCATGTGCAGAAGAGACAAATCAAAACATTCAATCGTCATGACAGGTTCACGCACCAGCCCCTACTTCCACTCGCTTTAAAACACAGACGATCCGCGGTGCGGACTGCCCGGCAGCATGCTCACGGACGGCGGCATGGGCGTCCGGAGAACATTGTTCATGCCGAGGCCGCCGATGCTGCTGCCGGGGTTGCTCGTGTTGCCCAGGGAGGACATGCTGGGCGCCATGGAGGGTGCCATAACGGAGGCCGACATGGATGCGCGTGCGGTGGTGCTGCCGTCGTCGTCGTCGACCATGCGCGGATACACAAAGAAGGAAAAGACGTCGATGTTGTCGAGCTCACAGAGCGACGTCACCTGCGTCGACATGGGCTCGGCCCCAGACTGGCGCGACGTGGACGTCAGGGCCAGCAGGTCGTAGGCGCTGCGGCGCATGTTGCTAAACGTGATCTGACCCTGGCGCCCGCGCTGGGCGACACGGGCCAGGGTGGCGGCGTAGTGGTTGGCAACGGCCCAGTGGCGGCCGACATGGCGGAGAGTTTCAATAAAGAAGTCGATGCGGGCGTGGCTATCGAGCGGCTGGGCAGCGCTTCCGTTTCCGCCGCCGCTGCCGACCCCTCCAAGCCCTCCAACCGCACTCTGGCCCGGCGCTTCCTGGACCGAGGCATGCACCAGCAAGACCCGCGCGGCGATCCAGAGCGAAAAGGCAAAGGGCGGGCCCAGCAGGTCCAGGCCGTTGGCCTCGCGCAGGTCGCGGGCAATGTCGGCCAGGGAGTGGACGGCCGAGAGGCAGCGCTGGACGGCGTACTGCGAGGGCATAAACAGGGTGGAGCGGGCGGTCGGGTAGGCGGCGGGGGCGTGCAGGCGGACGACGGCCGTCACGTAGGCGCTGTGGAGCATGAACCAGTTGGCGACGCGCGAGGCCGGGTCGGAGTGGCACAGCGCCGAGATCTTGCTGAACTCGCTGGGCAGGCCGCGCAGCCAGCCGTCGAGGGTGGCGTCGAGGGCCTGGTACGTGTTGCGCCAGCGGGCCATGTCGGCCGACGAGTTGATGTCGACGGGCTGGCGCAAAAAGTCGTGGATGCGGCTGAGGATGCGCAGGAGCTTGCAGTGGTACGAGAAGCTGCCGAGGTGCTCGGCCTTGTTGGCCATGGACGAGGCCGTTTCCGAGAGCGGCGTCGACGGCGGCATGTGCGGCATGTGCGGCATGTGTGGCGTGCCGGCGGCAGCAGCATACTCACTGCCCAGGTCCGACCAGACGTAGGACGAGCGCGTCTCGACGGGCACGTTTCGGGAGAAGAGATCGTAGGAGCAGGGCAGGAAGCGGTGCATGGCCGCGTCGTCGAGCAGAAAGCCGCCACCCGCGCCGGTCAGCGATGTCGTCGTGGCGGCACAGACGGTCGCATACCGGTCCAGCAGGTAGACGACCCAGCACAACCGGCGCCGGCCCTCGTCCTCGATCCACGAGTCGGGCTTGCTCTGGTGGATGGGGCGGGGACCAGGCGACGACAACGCGTTTGTGTCGCTGTCCCCCGCCGCCTGCTGTTGCTGCTGCTGCTGTTGCTGTTGTTGTTCCAAGTCAACAGGCGACGGCGCCAGGTAGACACTGACCTCGTCGCACAGTCCGAGCTGCCGCACGTTCTGCGCTACCATGGCCAGCAGGTTCCATGCCCGCGGCCCGCTCGACGTGCCAAACTCGTCGAGACTGACAATCACCAGCGCCCGCAGCGCCGGCACGGTGATGTGGTCCATCGCGTACAGCCGCACGACCTGGCTCGACGAGGTGTGGTAGTACTCGCGGGCCTCGGGCGTCAGGCGGGCGTCTTTGGAGAAGCGCAGCGTCGTGGCCACAATGGCATGCAGCAGCACGCGGTCGGGCTCTTCGAGGGACGTGGCGCCAAAGAAGGTCCCGAAGATGGTTTTGCGGTCCAAGATGGGGCACCACGTGTTGCAGTGCTTGAAGAAGAGGTCGACGAGCGTGTACAGCATGTCGTTGGGCGGCAGTTCGGCCGTCGGCGGTTTCGGAGTACGGAAGGGCGTGGATGGTGGTGCATAGCGGTGCTGGCTCTGGTATGGCTGAAGGCCTCCGCCAGCCAGGGTCGATGCGTCGTCGTCGTAGTCAGCGCCGCCGCTCTGCCAGATCATGCTCATGCCGGATGATGTCATGGGCGGCGGCAGTGCCACGGCCCCTGGCGTCTGATTGTTGTTGTTGTTGCCGTTGCTGTTGCCGTTGCTGTTGCTGTTCCCCGTCGAGGCATTGGGCGTGCCCGAGTTGGCGTTGGAGTGCGCGTCGTCGTCGCCGCCGCGGAAGATGCTGCTGCCGGCGGCCGTCGGCGATCCCAACGAGGGTGAGACGCCATCGTCGTTGCTGCTGCCGGGGGCGCCACGCCCCGAACCAGCGGCTGCGCTCCGCCGCTCAAAATCGGCGGCATGGTCTTGCGAGATGTGCTCTTCGACGCGCCGGCCGAGCGCCCGCAGCAAGCTGTCGATGCGGTTGACCTTGGCCTCGAGTTCGGCGTTGATGCGCGTGCGGCTGCCCGGTGTCTGCCGTTTCAGGTAGACGCACTGGCGGTTGTGACGCGCACACCAGGAGCAAGCGGGTTCGGCTGCGGTGACGGTGTGAGCACAGGGACGTCCGTGATATGGGACGCGTTTATGTGAAATACCAATGGAGAGGACAAGGACAATGCCTGGGTGCACGTACCACGATCACACTTGACCTTGCGTGTCTTGCAGAGCTCACATCTGCAAAGCAAGGGGTTAGACAAGGCTGAGATCAGGAGACAATCCACAGGATAGTGGACAAGTGTCGACATTTACGCCACGCACAGACTTCAAACCATCTCAAACACCAACTTACGATATCTTTTGGTCCATGTCTCTGGTCCGCTTGCGCGGCGTCGTGGTCGGGACGCCTTCGCCCTTGCGGTGGCTCTGGTCTTGGTCCAGGCTGTCCAGGTCCGGATCCAGATCCAGGTCCTCGCTGCTCGGGATGCGGCTGCGATTTCCGTCCTCGTTGCTTATCGCAGCCTCTGATGATGTTGCAGCCTCGCGGGTATCCTCGCGGAAGTCGTGCGATGCACGCAGCCTCTCCACGTGGCCGTGGGTACTGCCGTGGATATCGCCGTGGATATCGCCGTGGGTCTTGCGTATCTTATGCGGTCTTTCCAGGTCCACGCGCTGTCGCTGTCTCGGGGGCGTCGGGTCGGGCGAGTCGGGCAGGTCGGGCAGGTCGGTGTTGGTCGCTCCTGTCTTTTCGCCTGCCATTGATAACGTGAATATAATCCAATATAGAAAAAAAAATAAAGCCAATAAACGAAAAAAAGTCCCCCAGCCCGAGACTAGACAAGGCTTATACAGAGCACAGCCGCTTCGGTCTGGTGTGCGTCTCCGTTTCCCCTCGGCAGTCGGTACCAGCAGTCCGTTGTCGATGTTCCAAAAATGCACTCCGTCGAGGGCGTATGCCACCGTCACCTCACCCTCCAAGGAGGAGCCAAATGCGAAATGGGAAAGGCAGGGTGTGAGACGGACACTATCTGGCCCCTCTTTTTTTGTTGCGTAGCAAAGCAGTTTCGTCACCAAATGTTGCACCCGCGTATTGCTTTCCTTGTGACAAGTCCTGGGGAGGTTGGATGGTCAGAGGGGGGGTGAGATGGGTGATTCCAATGATCCAATGACCTTGTGACCCAGTGATGTTGACACCGGCCAAGCCTAGGCGCCCCGGGGCCTCAGAATGCGCCGTGCTCCGCTTTGCAAGTGAGCGGAGAGCCTCTGCGTCCCTTTGTGGCCTCCGTATCTGTCCGGGCAAAATGCAGAACCGTTTGTGCGTCTGCTGACACGGTGCTGTTTTTAAAATCTCGGGGGTCTTCGGGGGGCGTATAATTCGAATACAGAGTAAATCTCAAGAGGTCAAAAGCTTAAACGAAAGAAAGGCTCGGTCTCGGGCTCGGTGTCCCGGGTCCATGGTTTTATTTTCTTGTATAGCAATACAAACGTAGTCGAGATGTGAGGCAAAATACGTTCGTCAGAGGCTCCAATAAAACGGCTCCAAAAAAGCCCCAAAAAGGCCCCAAAAGGGGTCCAAACGGCCCCAGAAAAGATCCAGAAAAAACTAGTCTCAAAAGAGTCTGCAAACAAAAGAGGCAGAAAAAAAAAGGAATGCATACGACGCCTCGACGCTTTTCGAAAATTCAAGATCCACCATGGCCAAAACACCCACTTTTCTAGGACTGCGACTGCGAACAGCGGAATTAGCAGTTGGATGCAGAAAGCCGCAACCATGAAGCATGAACCGCAGACCGCCGATTCCCTCAAAGCAAAGAGCGCCTCTCGAGCGCCTCGTAGCAAACGAACAAGTGGCACAGGCGGCCGCTAAGCAGACTTACGTTTTCCTGCCTTTCGGGCCTTTCGGCTGGGGTCTTATTGAACTACTGGGCAGCCCCTGGGCACCCTGGCCGGACGTCCCGCAGGCTATCTGATGGTACGACACATATGCTACGACATACACAAGTGCATTCTCCATCGGGGGACCTCCAGGACATGTGCATCGGCAAGTTCTGTTGTGAGCACTGCTTCCAACTGCTCCGTCTTATTGTTCGATTTCTCCTCTGCTGGCTGCTCTCACTACGGCCGCTTTGCGATGTCCTGGATTCGACCGCATTATGTTTCTTTCCTGTTTGTGGTGCCTTCGTCGTGTCATTCCCCGTCCTTGTCCCTCCCTTTGGTAGTTGTTTTCCGCCCAGCCATCATTGTCTGCATCGTCCGTCCGTCGTGCTTATTCCACGGCAGACTCCGCAGTGACTTCGTCTGTGGTGGTCTGCGTACGCCAACGCGCCAATGTGGAAGGAGGTGAGAAATTTTGGCAAGAAAGGGCAAGACCGAAAGAGACGTAAAAACAAATGCAAATAAAAATAGGAATTTAATGGACCAAAACCTCCTAAACCAGCAAGAACGAACCACAACAGCGCCCCACACCGAGCGGAGGCAACTACGTCGTAGGATCGCCACAACGGCGCTACTGAAAAATGCGACATACAAAGGAGCGTTTGCAGTCGGTACATGCCAGTAACAGACCGAAAAGTGGTGCCGTCCAAGCGGGCAATCGCCAAGAGTTCAGACATTGCACCCAAATAGGCACCTTGAGCCGGCTGCGAAAGACTGCGAGCCTGCAATACGGCCAGGAGACCTTGACAAATCCTTTGCTCATGATTTTCTACTTTGGCCGACAACACGAGCTTCGACGACTGGGACCGTCGGCGGGTACTACAAAACGGTCGCACGAACGGTTCATGTATTTTCCTCGTCTGGTTTCTTGCTCAATCGGGCGATTCTCTCCTGAATCTCGGTGCTCGTCGGTTGTGCCCCTCTCAATCCACCCCTGTCTTGTTCGACGCTGCTCGTTTTTGCTCCTCTTTGCTTCTTCGCTCTCCCCGTGTTGCGGTCTTTTCTGTTTTATTTTGTCTGCTTTCTGACATGCTTACAGAAGGACATGCTTTGCCGGTTGGACCTACGGGAGTGTGTGTACTCCGTACGTAGTCTCGTTTAGCAGTCCATTCATGTGTATCGGCGTCTTTATGTACAAGTAGTGTCAAGTATCTGCGTCAGTCTAAAGAAGTACCCATTTTCTTTGTGTCCCCTCTTCCCCCTTTGTATCTCCGTACCGTGCCGTCATACACTACTCCCCTTTTCGGACTATACGGCGGAAACACCGAAACAGCGAGAAAATCAAGAAAGCACGAAGCCAAGAAGAAAAAAGGGAAACGACCGAAACGGACAAAACGAGGAAATAACCAATATGGACCACTGAAAAGAAACAGCAAAACAAAGAACAAAACGATCGGCATGCTTCAAAGAGAGCCCCCGATGCGGCGTGTGCCAAGAAAACGGGAAGCGTGGCCATGACGAACGTCATTTTCGAACATGGAACACGGACTAAGGATGCACGTAAGGGAGAGCTACGAGTAGAGCTGAGGTTGCGCACTACACAAGAACACCGAGCTCCGAGAGATGCCAGCTATGCTGTACAGATTGGAGACGCGCATGTCGCAGATTGCATGTCGCAGATGATGCCATCCCAGCCGATCGATTGAGATGGGGTGGATAATCGATAACAAGCTATGCTGCAGGCACAGTATTCAAAAATAGACTGAGAATGGAAGCGACGAAAAATAACGAAGACCGTAAAACGATAAAGCAACTTGCAACGCGAGCTGAACAAGGACGTGATAATGTACATAAAGATCATGGAGCTTCTTTCCTTCCTGTGCTTTCTTTTTCTTTTTTTCATAGGCCTCCCTCGCCGGCGCGACCTTAGTTGGCCCAGCCCTTGCACATCTGCACGGCCTTCTCCCACGTTGCGAACCGGCTGCTGGCCGCCTCGGCCGTAATGGCAGGCTTGAAGATGGTGCGGCCCTCGGTGTTCACGCCTTCCAGGTCCTTGAAGTCGTTCCACACGCCCACCGCAATACCGGCCGCAATGGCAGCACCCAGAGCCGTCGTCTCGCGCATGGCGGGGCGGTTGACGGGGATGCCAATGATGTCGGCCTGCGTCTGCATAATCAGGTCGGCGTTGCACATGCCGCCGTCCACGGCCAGCTCCGTCAGCGCCTGGCCCGAGTCCTTCTCCATGGACTGCAGGATGGCCTTGGTCTGGAAGCAGGTGGCCTCGAGCGTGGCGCGCGCCAGGTGGCCGCGCTGGGTGTAGGCCGTGATGCCAAAGATGGTGCCGCGCGCGTCGTCGATCCAGTAGGGCGCGAACAGGCCCGAGAAGGCCGTGACAAACGTGCAGCCGCCGTTGTCCTCGACCGTCTCGGCGAGCGCGCTGAGCTTGGACGACGAGTCAATGAAGCCCAGGTTGTCCACCAAGAACTTGACCGACGAGCCAGCGACAGCAATGCTGCCCTCCAGGGCGTACATGCGGCGGCCAGGGCCGAAATCAAAGGCCACCGTGGCCAGCAGGCCGTTCGACGAGATGACGGGCTTGGGGCCGACGTTGTACAGCAGGAAGCAGCCGGTGCCGTACGTATTCTTGGCCAGGCCGGGCGTGAAACCCTTTTGGCCCACGAGCGCGGCCGACTGGTCGCCCAGGCAGCCCGTGATGGCGGTGCCCTTGAGGACAGTGCCGGCGAGCGAGCCGTAGGCGCTGGGGTCGGACGAGGGGACGATCTTGGCGAGACGCAGCTTCTTGGTGTCGATGCGGAACCAGTCGAGCAGGTGGTGGTCGTAGGCCAGCGTCTCCAAGTTCATAAACATGGTGCGCGAGGCGTTGGACGGGTCCGTCACATAGACGTCGCGGGCCGTGCCGCCGTTGAGCTTGTACGCCAGCCAGGTGTCGACCGTGCCAAAGGCCAGCACGCCGCGCTCGTAGGCGTCCTTGACGGCGGGCACGTTCTCGAGCAGCCACAACAGCTTCGAGACCGAGGGGTAAGTAGAAAGGGGCAGGCCGCAGAGCTGCATGAGCTCCTTGGAGCCCAGGCGGTCCTTGAGGCTGCGCACCAGCTCCTGGGAGCGCGTGTCCGTCCAGACAATGGCATTGTGCAGCGCCTTGCCCGTGGTGGTGTCCCAGACAACGGTGGTTTCACGCTGGTTGGTGATGCCCACGGCCTTGATCTGGTTGCGCGTGTGGCCCTGCTTCTCAAACTGCTCGACGGCGCCGTCAATGCACTTTTCGACGGAGCTGATCAGCTCCTCAGGGTCGTGCTCGTGCCAGCCCGGTTGCGGATATTTTTGCGAGAACTCCATCTGGTGCAGGGCCACGACAGTGCCATCCGGGCTGAAGATGAGGAAGCGCGAGCTGGTGGTGCCCTGGTCAATGGCACCGACAAAGGTCGCCCCGGACGAGCCGTTGGTAGTCATTGTGAAGCAGTGGGATATACGTGCAATAAAGTGATGAAAAAGGGTATAAGTGGGACAGGATGGTGTATAGTCGCACAGATCAGACGAAGATAGACGAAATGCAAAAGTAAAATGGGCGACGCACTTGAGGATGCTGAAGAAGAGGAAGAAAGGGCGAGGGGGAGGATGAGAAAGGCCTGACAAAATATAAGACAAGAGAGAGACAAAGATGCTGGCTTGCGAGTGGTGCTTAACAAGGACAATGACAAAAAGCTACCTGCCAGCTTATTTGTAGGGTCCGCCATCTGCACGTGTAAGGGACCAGTCTAACAAGCCAAGCTCCCCCTCTCCCCTCTCTCTCCCCTCACGCGCCCTCGTACGCGCTACCCCTCGGGGAAAGAATGCACCTCGATAGACGGTAGGCTGGATATAGT